AATGAAATATATATCGATATATATTTTTGCTATTTTCTATTATTTAATTTTAAGTTTTATACTAAGAAGTAGTACAAAAAAAGCTTTTTAGAAAAAACAGATACCCTTTTAACCCAAAGAAAAAAAAAATGAACAAATGTGGAGTGTTGTCGTTTATCTGATGCAACAGCAGTTTGAGAAGCTTCAGAGCTCAATGTCATATTTTTTTAGCAACGTAAGTAACATTTGCAGCTGACTTTTTAATCTTTTCTGGCAGCTTAGAATCCGCTTGATTTTTAGCACTTTTATCATTAGAAAAAAAAACCGATTACCCTTTTATACTTCCTGTTGTTCATACTAAAATTTTATTTGTTCTATTTATAACTGCTTTAGGATATACAGTCTTATTTAACGTCTAAAATTGTCAACTAGTTTTTTTTTTCAATTATTCTTTAACGATACAGTATTCCAAGGTGTTTTTGATGACTTATTGCCATTTCTTTACTGGTCTGATAGAGTTCTTAGTTAAAAAACTGTGGCTTTATAGTATTTTAAGTGCATTTTTATTTTTAATTTTTGATTAGCAAAGAATTTTTTTTTTTTTTGGAAATAATCTGTAAAAGTTGCTTAAAGAGACAGTTGTTGTGGTCGTCGACAACTTTTACATTGTTTTCATTTGTATATAAACTGTGAATGTATCAGACCAATTACATTGTGCTCTAATAAACGTGCGATAGCAAGCAGTGTTAAAAATGAAAGTGAAAGAAAAAGATTATCGTTTTTTTTTCAAATTTTTAGAAGTATTGGTTGATTGAATTGAATCTATCAAAATTCAAGTAAAGATGAATGCAATGAGATTCCCGACAGCTTATGCTCATATTCCTTGTCCATCTGGAACTGCTGCCAGTGGTCAAGGGTTCCCTTATGCACAACTGCATCATATTACACCCGTTGGCATGCTACCTAACAGCTATACCAATGGTAAGGTTGAAATATTTTTAGGTACTTTAAACTCAAGGTTAAAAATTTTTCAACAATTTTTAACCAGTATTACATCAAAAACCCTGCTAAAACTAGATTTAGGAAAAAAGTTTCAAAACAGCAATAGAAGTTGCAGTAAAGATTTTCTGTGTGTCAGAAACGGAACTCAGCAACTATTGTTTTTTAAGTTTTCTTTGCTTATTTTTATTTTTTGATTTTTTATTTGAGAGACATTTTCAGCAATGCTGCCAAGAAAAACTCGACGGGAAAGAACCACATTCAATCGACAGCAACTGGAAGTGCTGGAAAAATTGTTTGCAACTACACATTATCCAGACGTTTATGCTCGAGAAAAGATTGCCAATGAGATACAATTACAGGAAAGTCGTATACAGGTCAGTGATCTTAATTATATATATAAAAAAATTTTTAATGTAACATTTTAACGCTCAATTTATATATTATAGGTCCTGTCTTTTTTTCTATTTAAAAGGAGCTTTTTGAATGATTGTTCAAGTCACTCTTCTTTTATTTAACTACTTCTGCTTATTTTTTGTGTGATTTTTTAAACTGTAGTTGGACTTTGAAGACAAAGTTCAGAAAACAAACATTACTGGTGGCAAAAGAAAGTGTTACTTTTTAGGTATGGTTTAAAAACAGGCGAGCGAAACATCGGCAACAAGAAAAACAAAAACCAAAAGCCAATTGTTCACCAGGTTCAACCAGTTTGGCAAGTAATAACTCAAGTAACAGTACTACTACCGAAACTAATCTTAGTGGTGACAAAACTATGCGCTGCAACCCCGGAACCAAAGACTGTAGTTTACGACAGGATACAGTACTGCATACGGCTAGTGAACCAGAAACCAAGTAATACAATGTTTCTAAACGATTTTCTGTCTTTTGTCTTCTTTAGCAAGTTGCACGCCTGTATAAAAACATTTTTTTATTGTATTTGGAAAATTTAAGCGGCAGAAGTTGTTTTTTTTTTTTTAAAAGATGATTATACAAGAGAAAATTTATAGTTTAAAAATTTTTTTTAGTCCCATTCCAAAGACTACGCCACAAACCAGTTACGAAGCCAGTATAAAAGCTGAGAAATGTAGCGAAAGTAATATTTTTAAAACAGAACGACCACCCAATAACTTCAATATTGCTGACGGAAACAGGTCTTGGCCGACTGGCACATCAACTGTTAGTAATGCGGTAAGTAAATGATTGTAAAAAACAGAATTTAGAATTTTTGTGTTTTGGTAATTAATCTCAAGGACTACTGTGATTTAGCGGCTGAAAGAAGGGCTGAAAAGAGTTGAGAGACTTGAGAATCAATTCATTTGATTCACTCGCTAAGTTACGTTTACTTGTCGGAGGCGCTGAAAAGGCGGTGTACAATCACAGTGACAGTTAACTTTGGGGAATCAGCTTCCATGTTTTTTTTAGCTATCCATATCGTCAGCACCAACGCACGCAACGGCTCCGCTAACAGTACCGCAAATGAATCACACTTCGTTGCAATATTACCAGGATTTCAACAACTATTTTTACGGCGGAGCTTACTGTCCTATGATAGATACACCACAGGTCTACCATAATCCCTATTCTAGTGGCTATCATCAGGCTGCAGTATCTGCTTATGGTCAACCACCGCCAGCAGCTTATCCTGCGAATCCGTACTTTTTCGGCACCTGTTAATTCACTTTCTTTTTTCTTTGGTAATTATAACACAGTGTTCCGTATCCGAAAGTACAATACCGATCTATAAATAGCGCAAATATGTAAAAGTTTTTTGATTGCAGTTTTGATGAAATTTTGTCGAAAAAAGGAAAAGTTATAGTTTCCCAAGCAGGCAGTAAGTTGACTGAATGTAGTAAAAAATTAAAACTTAAAAAAAGAAGAAGAAATAAACGGATTTTCTTCTTTGCTCTTGCTTAAAATTTATGGTCTTCCACAAATTATATTTCTTCTCATCTGCACAGTATAAAAAGGCAGAAATAGAAGTAGTGTTGTATAGCCCGTTTATGTATTTGTATATTAAAAAATTGAAGAGAATTCCAAGAAAAAAGTGCTTTTTTTTTTTTTGAAAAAAATTTTATTTATTGTTATAAAATTTGTGAATGCGTTATACACGTTTTAGATTTATTTATTTATTGTTTCTATGTGTGTTTGTTATTCAGTCAATACTTTATAGTAACACGTCGTCATAAGCGGTATTATGTACATTAGTGGTATGTATCAATGTCTCACAGTTGGCCAGTGAATGAAACGAAGTATCAATTTAGTTGTTATCTCAGTTTGCCCATTTTTAGAACCCCTAACTATCCGACCATTTGACTTTTTTTTGTTCAAATGATCTTTCCCATCGCTTTCCACACAGTTGTTATAAATCCATTTCAAACTTTTACGGTAATTTTTATTTTAATGTTACGACAGTAGGTAAATGGTTAATTGTTTTTTGATGTCATTGTTTTTGTGGTTAAAGATAGAAGAAGTTTCTGCTTCTTTTCTCGTTATTAAAATTAAAATTTTTCTTGGATGTAGACAACTCTTTCCCGCTAATAACACTTTAAAATAGCTTAGCAACTATGATAACATAAATTACCTACTTCTTACTTTTGCACAGCTTGAGCTAGAATCTGCTTCGAAAAGACAGACTCAGAAGTAAACTGTAATATAAGAAAAGTAGCGGTAACAGCTGTATCTTTAACTTGAAGTTGTTTCTCTTGGTAATGCTTATGCTGATAATAACAATGACGATAATGACGACGATTACGTCAAAAAGAGTTTCTGTTGGACAGGAACGAAAATCATTTACTGGAATTGTCAAATCATTTACAGCTCCGCAAAAATAAAATTTAAATGCAGGCCAGAGAGAAGTAAAAAAGCAGTTTTAATTTAGGGTTCAATACGCTGTTGGTCCTAAATTTCAGTAATGGCTCTGTTTAAGTAAAATAAAGCTACTTTGACAATGTAATTTTAAAGAAACAAGCACAGCAAAAAAAAAAAACATCTCTACAAATCTTTCGGATATATATGTGAACCATTCCATAGAGAGTGTCACACTTTTTTCCTTCATATCCTAGATTTTTCAGAAATTTTGCTGTTCTGTAAAGTTTGAGCCATTATACAGAAAACCAAAAAAACCTAAAAAAGTGAATTTTCTGCCAAGAAACATACCCTTCAAGTTGCAAAATTTGCCAAAATCCCGCTTGAAATTTTTACCTTTGTAGACTTGTAATTTAAATATTTCTTAACACAAAATAACGATCCCTCCTTAAATCGGTTCTTCATGTTCCAAATCTTCAAAGTAATATTGAATAATTTGATCCTGATAAAAATCACATAAATACGGTGAAGATTTCATACAAATACTAAAAAAAAAATCATTAAAAATTTTAAAAAAACGACATTTTGTGCGGGTTTTTTTTTTCTCTAAAAAAATGTCAGAATTTGGTGATAAGTCCTCTAATAAAACATCCTCTGCTTCGTAAATATTTTGTCTACCTGCAACAGTTGAGAAGGAAAACTGTTTGGTAAAGATATGTGTGACGCATAAAAAGTCGTAGTTCTCTTCATGCTTTCTTTTTTGAAAGGATATCTCTGCCTGATCCTTGAAGTCGACCAGAACACTCGGAAGCAAATAAAGCTAGAACAAAAATTATATATATGAACAAATACATATA